CTTCTGGATGATCCGCAAAATAGACTGACGGGATGGTCTCTAAAAGACGTCTCACAATTACGTCATCCATTTGTCGATAACCTTCCAAAAAGAAGTAAAACTGTATAGTCGACACACAAAAAGAAAGCATTCTTTCAAACTCAGGTATTGGAATATGCAACACGACTTCACTCTTGTTGATCTGATCACATATGATACGAATAGTCTTATGCAGGTCTGTACATTTTACAAAGTTGTATACATTTGCATTTATAAAACGTCTAGTCCTGTAATGAATTTTACTGTTTTGTAATTCATACGATGGTGTCAGTTTGCCCAACATTCTGCATTCGCTCAAGAGATATTACTTCACATTTATAGTCACAATGTAACCCAATACTTTGGTTTTGATATGTATTCGGTAAGTAAGATATTTCTGATGCATTAAACCGCTTTCTGATGAAATAACCTTTCGATCAGCCATGTAAAGTTGAAAATTCAAAGCATCAATTCCGCGCTACAACACTGAAATGAGTGGACCTAGATTGCTGAGGTTTGTTAAAGTTCGTTTGACATATCTGACGCTCTGTGATTGGAGCAATGTCGAATATTGAATTCGTTGTAGTATATTCGGTTTGTTTGCAGAAAGTCGGCTCTAAATTCTCATTTCTTTCGCCAGGCGAAGTGTACAATTACGATTAATTTTGTATCACAATTACAGGAGGAAAAATTATCTCTGATTTCCTCTTACAGCTATCGTCGTGCAGTTACCAAAACATTCTTATTTTGCATTATTTGACACCTTCCTTCCCACAACTAGACCTAGTGAATGTTGGCTATTTTTAAAAGTCGTTTTTTGCTTGTACTCTTATGAATGCTTTACTGCCGGAAAGTATTATAATGTGATAAAAGTCCAACCAGGAAGAGAGAGAGAGAGAGCACTTTTACTGTCATTTTTATCAGTAGTACCATAGAAATTGCAACAATTTCGACCGCCTTTTCTGGCATTTATTCGGAATCGAAAAATAATCCTACTAATCAGACTGTCTCAGTAGGCATTAGTGGAACTGCCAATTATATGGTACATGGGTACATTATCACACATCGCCATGGACGATTTCGTAACAATCTTATGAACAGGCACCGAACAGTACCCAAATTCCGTACACTATAATCATTGTATTTATTTTGCACTACTCACGAGTAGACACATTAGTTAGCGAGAACATTAGCTAACATATTGGCATAACGTGAGGATCGCCATTGAAGACTCGTCATTGTTTAATGGACTACGAATACGCCTTAAACAAAGAGAGCATATTCCCAACCAGTACGGTTTCTCAAGGACGCTTGGCAAGTCCATGACCTATCGAAGCTCCGTTGGCGTTAACTTGAATTCGAACCCTTAATCTACCTGTTGACTCCTAGCTGAGGTTGGCGCTGTGGGAATGCCATTTTCCTGCTAATTACGATGTTAATAACTGTCAGATATATTTCGAAATCACTTATAACAACGCAACTGTTTTTTTAAGGGCGCTAAAAAAGATCGCCTTTATAAAATTTTCTTCTTAATTGACCTGTTGATATATCTGAAAAATACCTCCTATACGATACATCAACATGTTTTTCAACATGATCAGATCTCCAGCCAATGACGGGCTTTCGTTATGTACTTGTCCATACCCTCCGCTGCTCTGCTTCAAGGGAGGAAGGCAGAGCAAGACGAGACGGAAAGAAGCGAGAAAACAGAAAACAAAAAAAAAGAAAGGAACAGAAGGAACAAAAAAAAGAAAACGACCAGCGGAGAAGGAAGAGCAAAGAAGGAAGACCAAAAAGACGGCAACGAAAAAGAAAACGAGGAAAGAAGAAGGACAAGAGGGACCACAAGAGGACAGAAAGGACAAAAAAAAAAAAAAAAAAAAAAAAAAAAAAAAAAAAAAAAAAAAAAAAAAAAAAAAAAAAAAAAAAAAAAAAAAAAAAAAAAAAAAAAAAAAAAAAAAAAAAAAAAAAAAAAAACAACAAAAACAAAAAAAAAACAACCCCCCCGGGGGGGGGGGAAAAGACAAAAAAGAAAAAAAAAAACTTTTAAAAAAAAAAAAAATTTTTTTTAAAAAGAAAAAAAAAAAAAAAGATTTATTGATTTTTTTGTTTTTTTTTTTTTTTTTTTTTTTTTTTTTTTTTTTTTTTTAACAAACAACCCCCCAAAACCCCAACAACACCAACTTTTTTTTTTAAACCAAAAAAAAAAAAAAAACAAAACATTATATATTTTTTATTACACAAAAAAAAAACAAAACAAAAAAAAAAAACCCCCCCCCACCCCCCCACCCCCCCCCCCCCCACCCCCAAAAACACCCCCCCCACCCCCCCCCCCACCCAAAAGAGCAGCGGAGGGGAGGGAGGGGAGAGGGGGCGGGCGGAAGGAGAAGAGGGAGAGAAGAGGAGGGGAAAAAAAAAAAAAAAAAAAAAAAAAAAAAAAAAAAAAAAAAAAAAAAAAAAAAAAAAAAAAAAAAAAAAAAAAAAAAAAAAAAAAAAAAAAAAAAAAAAAAAAAAAAAAAAAAAAAAAAAAAAAAAAAAAAAAAAAAAAAAAAAAAAAAAAAAAAAAAAAAAAAAAACAATTTATGTTTTTAAAAAAAACAAAGAAAAACGAAAGAACAACAAAAAAAAAAAGAAAAATAAAACAAAAAATAAAAAGAAAAAAAACAAATATTATTTTTATATTATTTTTTTACAGGGGGAGAAAAAAAAAAAAAAAGGGGGAGGGGGGGCAAATTTTTTTTTATTTTATTTTATTTTTATTAGTTTTTTTTTGTAAACCCACAAGAAAAAAAAAAAGAAAAAAAAAAAAAAAAAAAATTTTAAAAAACCACACCAAAAAAAAAAAAAAAAAAAAAAAAAAAAAAAAAAAAAAAAAAAAAAAAAAAAAAAAAAAAAAAAAAAAAAAAAAAAAAAAAAAAAAAAAAAAAAAAAAAAAAAAAAAAAAAAAAAAAAAAAAAAAAAAAAAAAAAAAAAAAAAAAAAAAAAAAAAAAAAAAAAAAAAACATTTTTTAAATAAAAATAAACAAAAAATCCCAAAAAAATAAAAATTTAAAGATTTTTTATTAATTGTTTTTTTTTTTTTTTTTTTTAAAAAACAAAAAACCCCAAAACACAAAAAAAAAAAAACAACAATACAAAAACAAAAACAAAAACAACAAAAACATACAAAAAACAACAAACAAAAAAAAAAACATTTTTATTTTTTTTTTTTTTTTTTTTTTTTTTATTTTTTACACAAAAAAAAAAAACCCCCCCCCCCCCCCCCACCCCCCCCCCCCCCCCCCCCCTCCCCCCCCCCCCCCAAAAAAAAATAATACCAATTAAACGCCTCCATCGGCGCTGTGAACAGTTTTGTTAACAAATGGTTTAGTGACAGAAAACGAAAACACAACTTTGGGAACGGGCACCCGTCAGAGTCTCATACCGAAATGTATTTTCATGTTCTTTACTTCTCCTCATTCTTATACGTCCTATAAATACATGTGCATGTACATATGACGTCATATGTGTCAGCGAAAACAAGCAACTAAATTTGGGGATAACGGAAACTAAACGCCAAATTTTATAAGACTTTACACTTTAAAAACGTACGTTTTATAACACTTCACAGTAAAAGTTTATCAAATTTGGCGTTCAATTTTTACCATCTCCATTATGTGGTTGCTTGCCTTTGCTATTTTCCTCCCGCAGTATGTGTGAAAACCAGTTACGACTGCCATCCACACAGTTACCTACACGCGACCGAAGTCTGCGGTGAACGTACTGCCGATCGAGGCGCCTGGTCTGCGACGGTCCAGTCGCGCCCTAACCTGAGTTAGAACGCCTGTCCGGGAATTGGAACAAGGCGCACGACCGCACTGCGCGCTCAGCCACGACTGTCCGGATAGACCAATAGTTGGCCCAGCATTAGCCAGAGCACCTCACTACAGGCTTTGTGCGTTCAGGTGACATTCCAGATGAATAGCCAAGAGTTTTAACAGAGTAAGCCGAGACAAACTAGTCTTGGTTTTTCTGAGCTGTGTTGACTGGACATCAATTGTTTGTCGTAGAACGAAAAACGCGGGCGATCAATAGGCAGAATTACCTGAAATTTACAAAACTTATAATGTTTAAACAGTGCGATTCTTCGTGGTCAAGCTCATTAATAGTTAGGATTCTGAAGCAAACTGAACGGGAGAAGGCGGGAGAATTCAGTTACGCGTAAAACGCTCCGACGAGGCGGATTCGAACCACCGACCTAAGGATAACTGCTAACATCTACAGTCCTCCGCTCTACCAGCTGAGCTATCGTCGGACGTTAAGTGGTGGACAAATGAAACATGATGAGGTATCTCGTACACCATCAGAAGCAGAAATTATCCACAATTGTACGATCAAACGACCAGTTTTGATAGAGGAAGAAGACCCTTTTGTTATGTAAGTTGGCCACCAATATAAAAAAAACACAAACGAACGGAACATTGCACATTCACTGCGATTGCCAAAACCCAATGCGCACCAATGGAAGTGAGAAGACCCATATGCCGTTTATCCGAAATTGGCTGCACAGAAATTGACCGGGATTAGGGTACAAAGAAAATCATATCACCATGGTTTGAGGATACACCAATTTGTGGGCAGCGGACTGTAAAGGAACATACCGCAGGGTATGATTCTAAAAATTACGTTACGACAGACAAGTATCATCATGGCTACCTCACTATATTTTAGTGCCCACAGGAAGGCGTTAAAAACGAAGTACCGTGAGAACCTATTGTTCTGTCAACTGAATGCCAAATCAGAGACAGTAAGAATGTGCGCCACGATTAGGTTTAGTGTGCCCTATCAATAACAGTCCACAACTTGCGAGTGAGGGTTAGCCCACCTAGAACGTACCTCGCCGCGTCACATGAAGTGTGCAGCCAGACCACCACCTTCTACGTCTTCAAAGCTCCAAGCACCTCGCGACGCGAGAGTTGTTTTATTAGTACTGCCACACCATTCATGTTACCTTTTGAATGTAAATTTGCTGCAAACCACTAACATCAGAGTCAATGCGCTGGTGTGGGTGTCGCAGTTTCCCTCTTTGCTGTTCGATAAATTCATGTCATCTTCAATGTTGCATGCTATTTCGTCCAAGATAGTAACGCTGGGAATGGCACCCGACCATTCCAACGCTCGTTTGAATTCTCAACGTCGACCGGAGCTCAATTGGACATACGTTTTCTTTGACTGTTGGTGCACTGTTGGTGCATTAGGGGTTCTCTCACGCCTATCTCCCTAACGCATTAATTTGTATTCATCGAACGGTAATTAAACCAATAAATATGGTCCGTTTGCAGATTCACTTTTCTCTTCACCATGACTCTCCCAAACTGCGTAAGCATAAAGCCGAGGAATTCTGGGCGTGGGAATCATCGACCAACAAATGGCGACGGAACCTACTAATAAGGGGATACAAACATGAAAATGAGCAAGGAGGACAACTGATCGTGTAGTCCTATCCCATCCCTCTTTTAATTTTTAGTTAAGGTTTCTTTTTCCAATAGTTGCATGATAGTCATGCATCCGTGCGATCCACCGATGCATTGCCGTCTACGGTGGTACAATGCGATCCTGTTTGTAGATTGCTCAGTACCAGTCGGCAGCATTCTACAGTCAACTTATTCGAGTTATGTCTTATGCTTCGAGAAGTAGGTTTTCAAACGGCCGTCCGAATGCCGATGGGATGAACAATCGTTTTCGAAACAACAACGGAGGATTCATTAAAATATGTCATCAGGCAAGCCGCAAAACTCGCGAAGTGATCGATAACATGCGATACCAAAAACGAACGCTAAAATCTACATAGTATGTTACGCCTGAACTGGACGTGGGCTGAATATCATTTGTGTGTATGTGGCTAGACTGATTATAATTGTCCACGGAAGTTGCAAGGACTTCTTGTAGGAATACAGGTTACGTGGATTATGTGGATTGTGTCGTTAGTTTTGGACGTTACATGTTAACGACCAGCTTACCAATTTTGCAATCTGTCTCATGACAAACTTTGATGGGATCGCTATGATTGCATTGTCTTGAGGTCATCTGAACTAGCGAAGAGAACCCCACAAAACGGCTTTGCGTTCGTAAACGTGACCAAGCCGATCGATGAGAACACAGGTTGACCAGCTGTCTTAAAGACGTTTTTTCTTGCTGCAACAAGCACAGGCATCCTCAGTAATGAGTAATTGATGGTTGTCCCAACATGCGTAAAAATAGGGCCGAACAACCTTCTTCAGCCTTTTCACAGAGAAGTCATACAGCCAATTATAAGTAATTTCAGAGACATATCCATAGTAGAAATTGGAGCCTACAGTAGGCTTCTTGCAGAAAATGTGAATCTGAGTTTAATTAGGAAGCCAACAATAGTTCTGCGTTTCGTCTGCACCCATTACGACACTTAGTACTAAAGACGGTAGTCTGGTTAATTCTCTGAAAGAGTACTTGGTCAATCCTTTGCACGCTTGGCCGCATTTGTTAGAATGCTAAAACCCGTCCTTTTCATAGTCGGTTGTCCACCTCATGGAGGTGTGAAGCGTGCAGCTCAAGCCGCGAAGCCAAGTGCTGGTCACATGTGATTTAGTCACATGACACTTCATGCCCGGACCACTGGCACACCGGCCTGACATTCGCAATGTCCAGCTTTCAGATCTCCGGACGCTTAGATGACCAACAACTGTTGGGCAAAGACATCAGCCTGAGGACATCATAATAATTTGGAATGAACACGTGATTTTGTGGTAACCACTTTTACACGCATTTTGTGCATACTCCATTTTCTACAGACTATTCGAGTGAGACTCACGCAAGAGTTTTCTAATGATATCTGGTAATTTGTTACGAAAAATGAATGTTGTCAATCAGCTAGTAAAGACGATACCATAAGAAAATGGAATGGTCATATGATTTCATGGTACGGGTGTACACAGTGTAAATCGTAAGTGGTCTGATCTGTTGAAAAAGTATGGGCTAGGGACTAAATTCAACGCGCACTCTCCCAACCCAAAGTCCGTACCGTTGTTGCACAGCGACCCGGATTCCAAACGTAATCCACTGATGCCTTCCTCACGCTACAGCAGATCGACCGAACGGATAACATCTGTGGGCACCGTTTCCAAAATGGTGTATCGTCAAACGGATTTAATTTGGAACCATTGTCATGAACTCACTTGGATGACATGAGCTTAGCCATAAGTCACATGATGCGGATCATAGACTCACAGCCGCGCCGAATGATGGCGCACTCAACCGAATTCGATGCACTAGGACGGACAAAGAGCACTCAAATGTGATTGGTACACATGCCCAAGCAATCGGGAGCCGGGGTGATGTAGACCGGACGATGCGTGTCCGGTTGGCTTGTATTTGTGACTATCGAGCCAAGCTGCTCGTGTTTCGACTTGTCTACCTGGGGTGACTCACCACCGGTGTGGCGCCCACACGGTCTGTCTGAGCAGAACGGGCACTGCGACCGAGTAATCGATACACCCCAAGCGTGTGCAGCTGTGACGTAGTGACCGATATTTGAGACACGATGGCTTGGCTGCTGTTAGTATTGTTGTGGTCCATGTTGCCCGAGGCATGTGAGGTAGGGTTAGCCAGCCGAGTCAAACGATTCAGGCTGCAAATGCGCTGCACGAGAAAAGTAGCGGAACGCACCCACTAAACCTAATCT